TTCAGCTTTGCATCCCAGAAATAAATAAAACTAAAATATATTAAAATATAAAATAGTTTTACTGTATTTTTGTTCACATAAATGCAGTCTTGGGGATCATAAATGACTAAAATAATTTTGATGTCACGTTGACTTTTACAAGTCTTCAACATATTCTTGATTGACAGTTCTGAGTTTTCTCCAAATTATAATTAAACTGTCAATATCGGACTGCCACAGGGTCTCACCAAGATGCATTCATAATCATTTCGGATGCATGCTGCACACAAGCTAAGCGTCTTTCATTCAGTCGTGATCCTATCAAATCACCAGAAAATCCAAATCCGCTGTGACTTAAATATGAAGCAGGTGTACAACTTAATTTACCTGTCCTGACATTAACTATGTTTCCTCTTTTTTATGATTCAACTAAACAGCTGTTCTAATGAGATATATGTAGCACCGACACTGTAAGAATTGAAAACACAGCATTCACAATCAGCTTAAGCAAATATGTAAATCCAGCCATAAAACAATTACGGTTAGAATGTCCTGCAACTGGTGATGAAGCAAAGCATTATGAGGCACTAAGGCTTTATACAGAAAGTACGCCTCAACAATAGCAGTGAAACAATGTGGGTTTGACAGACAAGCTCATTAGCTGTTTCAAAAAAATAAATTGTAAGACCTCTATAAATGACTAATATTCTGGATAAATTGTGAAAAGTTGGTTTGGAGAGTCTTTAACCACGTTCAGACAGCAAAAGCACATTTCCATCAACTATTTCCACACTAACCATACAATATTTCTGTGGCGAACAAAGTACGTATACCAGATACTGGCCCTGTTTTCGTGATGCTTGTGAATCTTTCTGCACACTTTCACTAACCAAAGCATCACAAGTTTATTTATAAGACAGAGGAGACCAAGTAACTAAATCAAAAAGATGGTCTCAGTGCATAGGATCATAAAGTGAAGCAAAAATTTTGTAGATCCGGATTGACAACTGATTAGCTTAAAGCAGTGAACTCCGTTTCACAACTACATGCTGGTCATAAATCTACATTCAAACACAGGCTGTAACTATGAGATATGCCTGGCCTTTTTGTGTCATGCATGTGGGTCAAAGACGAGACATCCTGCTTTGGTGTCCGCATCAAATCGTATTTAAAAAAGTGATCTTGTATACATAAAAAGCATATTAAATGCAAGTAACATGTCTATTTTTCAAAGAATGTAATGTCAAAATATGGGTGAAATAATGCTACATCATCATTCAGCATAACAAATATATTTATGTAAAAATTAAACAAGATATGTATTCTGATCTGCACTTATTAAAATGTATAAAAGAGATCATAATAAATGTTATTCTATTTTAAATGATTACAAACGTCTAGCTGACAAATAGGTAAGACATAGTAGTTTAAAGGGTAGTGAGAAAGATTTGTAAAGATTTAAAATTACAATTAATTAGTATTTGGATGCTGCAATGTGATCTAAAAAATCTGTTTCTGAATATGCCTGACAAGATTTTCTGTGATATGAACTACACTGAATGACATTTTGATGGGTGTCTTCTGTAACTCATGGTAAAAATGTCCGATAGTCATTGTTTTTTGCTCATAAATAATACAATTAAGCAGGACACATAAAGCTGTATTAACATTTTATCGTTTTGATGTTTGAAAACCCTTTTTCTGTCTTTGACCCATGTACGTACCTTATACTGCTCCATAGACATGGGTTAATTATACAACATGATGAGCTCCTTGTCATGGTCTGTTCACAAACTGCCCTGTGTATAAATCAGCAAAGTCTCAAATGAACAATACAAGTCCCAAATCAGGTCTATTTGAGGCATCGGAATAGCTTTGTCCTAATTGGATTTCCCTATTTGCTGGCATTCTCAGCGTCCAGGCCCTTATTAAAGGGACATGGAAAGGGTCTGGATCACATCAGAACAGGGGGACTGGTAATCACCCATCTAATGCCATTTAATCTAGTTTACTGATCCAAACTAGGAAGTAATGTCTTTCTGTTCTTGTATTTTATCTTTCTCTCAAGACAACACAAGGCACAAGTGGCAATATTTTTTCATGTCAGCTTCTATGACTGAAACTAAACCTTCTTGGCCAGGTTTAGTTATTCAAAATTAAAAGATATTTAAGATCATTTTTTCTCAAACCCCTAAGACTATATTTGGATTTACTTGGTTAACCATTTCAAAAAATATCAACAGAATAAAACAAGATTCCTCAACATTTTTAAATATTCCTATTTTTTTTTTTTAAGTTTTAGTTAATGTAGTACTTCTAGTTAAACTACATCAAAATGAGAAAGTACGTCTTAGCAACTAGCTGAAATAAAATATATTTTTATGTTTTTATTATATATTTCTTATTATATATTTTTTCAGGCCACATTTATTTCAATGAACTTTCTGCTTGGAAGATTTCGTTTTAATTTTAGTTTATGCTTTTGTGATAATTCTTGGGAATACACAGTACAATATTAATAGTTTTATATTTTAATTTAATTGCTAGCAGGTAAAACTGAGTTCATCTGCACGCATTTTTCATTCAATAAGGCAGAAATGCATATACAGTCAGGTCCATATACAGTATATATTTGGACACAGGCACAATTTTTATTATTTTAGTTGCTGACCAAAACATATTCAGGTTACAGTTATATAATAGAATATGGGCTTAAAGTGCACACTCTGGGCTTTAATTTGAGGGTATTCACATCAAAATTGGAGGAAAGGATAAAGAATTACAGCTCTTTATTATGTACCTCCCCCCTTTTTCAAGGGACCATAAGTAATTGCACAGTTGACTCATGGACAGGCATGGGCTATTCTTTCATTATTTCTACATCAATTAAGCAGGTAAAAGTTTATTCTAAGTGTGCCATTTGCATTTGGAAGCTGTTGCTGTGAACCCACATCATGTGGTCAAAGGATCGCTCCATACAAGTGAAACAAAACAAATCCATCAGAGAGATAGCAGGAACATTAGGAGTGGCCAAATCAACGGTTTGGTACATTCTGAGAAAAAGAGAATGCACTAGTGAGCTCAGCAACATAAAAAGGCCTGGATGTCCACGGAGGACAACAATAGTGGATGATCGGAGAATCCTCTCCATGATAAAGAAAAACCCTTTCACAACATCCAGCTAAGAGAAGAACACTCTTCAGGAGGTAGACGTGTCACTGTCAAAGTCTACTTTCAAGAGAAGACTTCACGAGAGCAAATACACAGGGTTCACCACAAGGTACAAACAAGACCAGATTAGACTTTGCCAAAAAAAAACATCTAAAAAAGCCAGACCACTTCTGGAAAAGCATTCTTTAGACTGGTGAAATTAAGATCAACCTGTACCAGAATGACGGGAAGAAAAAAGTATGGAGAAGGCTCGGAACAGCTCATGGCAGCTAAAGGCAGAAAGACCCACAAACAAACAACAACTGAAGTCAGCTGCAGTAAAGGCCTGGCAAAGCATCACAATGGAGGAAACCCAGTCTCTGGTGATGTCCATGAGTTCCAGACTCAAGGCAGTCATTGCCTGCAAAGGATTCTCAACAAAATATTAAAACATTAACATTTTATAGCCTATATGATTATATTTATTTGTCCAATTACATTTGAGCCCCTGAAAATGGGAGAAACTGTGTATAAAAATGGTTGTAATTCAATTTACAACCATATATATAAGCGTCAAAGATGAAAAAGGGTTTAAGTGTAAAAATAATAAGTGTAATACTGCTTTAAATTGTTGTTGTTTTCCCCCCCAAAATTAAAAAAATTCTGTTTAATTTAATTGCAATTTTGTTTTTCTGAGCAAAAAATAAATATCATAAATTTTTCCCTGATTTACAGAAGACACCTACTAAAATGTCATTCAGAGTAACAATCTTGTCAGGCATATTTACAACAAAAATGGATTTATGACATATTAAAAGACTAATCACTTTCACCCCAAATACTAATTAGTTGTAATTGTACATTTTTAAAAATTTCTAGGTTTTGCCCATTTGTCAGTAAGAATTTTTTACTCATTTAAAACACAATCAAATGTAATATGTTCCTTTATTCTTTTATATATATTTTAATATGTACACGTCAGAATAAGCATGTTGTTTGAATTTTTACATAAATATTGTGTTACACTGAATGACAATGGAACATTATTTCAACCAAATTTTGACATTTTATTCTCCAAAAACATGTCAGTGTCTATTCTACAATATGATGACCTCCTAGCACAAACATGTCAGTGTCTATTCAGCAAGAATGCAATTAAATTGACCAAAGGTGACAGTAAAGACATTTCTATTTCAAATAAATGCTGTTTGTTTGCACTTTATATTCATAAAGAAAATAATTAAAAAAATGTATCACCATTTCCAAAATATATAAAGAGGCACAACTGTTCTTAACATTGTTAATAATAAGAGATGTTTCTTGAGCAGAAAATGAGAATATTAGACTGGTGACCAAAGGTGACAGTAAAGACATTTCTATTTCAAATAAATGCTGTTTGTTTGCACTTTATATTCATAAAGAAAATAATTTAAAAAATGTATCACCATTTCCAAAATATATAAAGAGGCACAACTGTTCTTAACATTGTTAATAATAAGAGATGTTTCTTGAGCAGAAAATGAGAATATTAGAATGATTTCTAAAGGATCATGTGACACTGAAGACTCGAGTAATGACTACTGAAAATTTAGCTTGCTTTGCTTCACAGGAATAAATAAATCTGTGCTATATACTGTAATATAACTGTGTGTATATATACACATTTTAAAAGGGAAATTTTGCTGCCTGCCTAACTTTTGGCCTTTATGTCAAAAGCACATTTATGATGCTTTAAAATGCTGTCTACCTAGGCAGCTCACTTGGTTTTGCTGAGTTACAGACCAAGATGTGGCCCTCACACTGAAAAACAACATTTAAAATGCACTGCACAATACAATACGCAGAACGCTGTATAATGTAGTGTGACTCACTTGGGTGTCTGTGCGTCATCTATTCTGTTCCCCAGCTGGAACTCGTGGGATTTGCTGCGGTGCAGAGCTGTGAACCCTGGCAGAAGGTGGATGAGCTTCCGGCTGGCAGGCGGCGGGGTTCCAGGGGCCTTCAGCTTATTCCTGCGCCTGACCTGTGGCGTCCCTGGAGGGGTCATGGTGTTCACCACTAAGGGAGTCCAAGGAGGGGTGTGGGCAAAATGCCTCTGTCTGGGGGAAGGAGGGAGAGAGTGATGTCCCATATCCAGAGGCGAGGGGAAGAGGCCGGAGTGAGGGTCCACGGTCAGCCGGTCCGAATGCGGGTGAGGGGAATAGAAGGGGGGCACCAGGGCCTGGGGACTCTGGCACAAGTGCTGGCTGTAGCGCGAGTGCAATTTGGGGCTCTGGGAGAGCTGGAGACGGACCCACTGACTGGGGTCTGACGGCCCCACTGGGGTGTTCTCTTTACCCGACTCGGACGTGGGCCACTGAATGGACCAGTCCTGCTTGGATCCTGTGGACACACAGTGTGAGAGATGGAGGTTTGTACCAGCCAGAATAAAGAGGAACAGGTAAGTTTGAGAAAAAACACTGGAGGAGAGGAGAAGAGAGGAGAGGAGAGGAGATAAGATAAGATAAGACAAGGACAAATAAGAAAAGAAGAGATGAGAAGCAAACAAGTAATGAAATAAAAAGACGAAGTGAGAGGAGGTTACATGAGATGAACCAAGACATGAGACACAAAAGATGAGACAAAATTACACAAGAATAGAGGTTGATTTTTATAATATAATGCAAACAAATTTAACTGAATTTAATTGAATGACAAGTACCTTAAGGTGCAGCCATATTAGCGAAAATCTGTTTAAAATTCCACAAAGAGGTCATTTTCAAACAAAGCAGGTCAGCTCAGCGAAAATCGTGAAAAACTTGAATCCGCTGTGAAACCTGCATGGGGAAATTGAGTGAATTCCTATTGAAATGACTAGATTTTGCCCTAAAAAAATCACTGGACAATGGACAAATATGACTGCACCTTTAGGCTTCAACTTAATTTAGTTAAAAATGTGATTATAACTAAATACATTTAAAGCATAAGTCTATCCTTGCCGAATGAGTGTTACTTAAGAGTGGTTTTTTGTTTTGCTATTTTAGCACATTTTATTAATAAAGAAGATCAGGATATATTACAAGCTGGACTTGAATGCATGACGCTCATAGGCATCACA